TGTCCAACTAGTAACGTAGTATTAGCAACTTGACGCTTTCACATGATGAGATTTCTAATGAGTAGGGCAAGCATTAAGCTTGCTATCTCAACCTGGAGCTCAGTTCACCTCGTAGAAACGTGTGGGTAGAGACGCGTATGGCGAACTTTAAGAAATATTGCTCGATCCTTTCGGTGATCTGTGTCGGTACATGGAACATGAGAAGGGTCTGCCACAATAGCTTATAGGGTACATAGGAGAGTCGCTCCTCGGGAATGTAGACTCCGTTTGCTCTCTGCCATTCCTTACATATGTACTGCCTCAGTAACAAGAAAAAAAGAGACAAAGTTTGTTTTGGCGGGGGAAAGATCAAAAGTATCTCACCCTGACAGGTGATGCCCTGTGTTGGGTCTAATTTAGTGTAACAGTAAAACCTAGGCACACTAACTTAAATAACAAGAATGTAAGTCAACAAATACAGAAACTTTATTTTCTTGATGACATATAACAATAATGCTTGATGACACACTCCGAACACTAAGTATACTAAAGAACTACTACTGAAATGTATACGAGCAGACCAGCAGAAAACTAACTAAGCAACTGGTAAACCAATAAATAACGAAATACTTACAGTTTCTAGCAGACCAATAACCAGGTAGTACCGTTACCTAATTTGCGCTTTAACAGTGTACAGTCTGAGCGACAAATTGGAAGGGCTTCTTGCCTCTAGAGCAGCTACAGCTGGAAAAGGAAGCAGTTCCTTGAATCATACCTTTTATCACCTTGCTGGACACTACTGAAGAGTTCCACCAAACCACCGTGCCAGTGCAGGCAGCTATGGCTGCAAAAAAAAAAAAAAAAAACGCCAACAATCTATCTTCTGTCACTAGCCTGCTACAGAAATTCAGCCATTATTTCAAGATAATGCTTGCTCAGAGGCTTTGATCATTTACACAGACGGTTCAGTGTCGAGAGGTAAAAGAAGTGCTTGGGGTTTCTCAGCAAAAGATATTGGTCGACGTTTGGTGCAGGAGAGCCTAGCATTTGATACCACAACATCCAGCTTAAGAATGAAGATGAAGGCGGTCTCTGCAGCTTTCAGTTGGTTAGAGAACACGACACACACACACATCGTAATTGCAACTGACTCATAAAGCATGCTGAGGAAGATCAGGACATGCATTCTTCTTGCAGAGTGGCATGCTTCTTTGCGGAGGACACAGGTGAGGAGTATTTTCTGGATTTTTTCACCAGGGCATGCCAGTGTGTTGTGAAATGAACAGGCGGACAGACTTGCTGGCATTGCACAGCTTGGTGGAATACTGATGCATGATAAGGCAGACGTGCTTAGTGCCTTATGGGAGACAGTTTAGAGGAGCAGATAGATCACCACAGTCTGGTGAGATTGATGCTGGGGGAAGTGACGAGAGGTTCTGGCAGATGCTCAAGGCTCAGAGGGAGGGTAGGACAGACGTTTAATCAGAATTCTACTGGCACCATTGGTATTGGAACTCTTCGCTGGCTGCTGAAGATGGGGACGGAGCGCTTATGGGAATGCCCCGAGTGCTGTGATGTCGGTTCTTGAATCAACTCGAATCAAATCAACTTCCAGTAAAGAAAAAAAAGTTATTCTGAGATCTTTTCCACCAATGTTAGATCTTCCAACAATGTTATCATGTCATCATGTTTCACTGTACTGGCTCTGCATGAATACTTGGAAAGATAATGTGGTGGTTTCCTGTTGAATTCTACACCCACATGGGGATCTTTTACCTCTACGGCTATTTATATTCATCCTAAATAAATGATTACAAATATATGCTTGTAGAACTCGATGAGCACTCATAATTATAACCCTAAGGGTTGAACAGGGTACTTTTAAAAAATTACTACTTTTTTTAACAGCCATGCCGTATGCTCCCTTCCTCTGAAATGTTCCTAATTAGTTTTTATTCCTTATAGCTGCTGTTTGTTGCCAAGATCATTCCTATCAATGTGCTAATACAAAATGTCTGATACATTTTTGGCGTTTCACGCAGTTGGATGTGTATGATCAGTTGTTACTTCTAAGCTCTTTCCAACAGTCTCCAGAGGTTGTATGTGGCATTGTTCGTACATTTTCCTTGCACAAATCCATTTCACTTATTCCATTGTAAGTAAAGAAAGGGATCGTTTTCCACGCCTTTGGTCATATACATATAGTGTTAGACCTATATTTTGTCTAGCCTAATTGGACAGCATCATCACACCGGCCACCTTCACCTTCCATGGCTGCACCTGGTCTCAAATCAAAGCTAGTCGACCTGGGAGCCAAAGTCATTTTTAAAAAGTACTTCTCCGTCAGGAATCAACGACCTTCCGATCCGCAGGCAAGCGTCAAGCCGCTACACCACGGTCGCTCCCTATTGTGAATGTACTTTTTAAATAAGGGTGATCATCACTAGAAGAACCGTTGAACGTCACAGTCACAATAGACATTTTAAAATAGCAACAAAGACAGCGGACACCAACAATCCATGTCAACACACTGATCCTGCAGCGGACTCACTAGGTTATCACCTTTTTAACACTTATCGTCGTTAATTCGTTATAATTATGTTTTTATACATATACGGAGAAAATGGGCACTTGAAGCCACATAATGCACCGTCTATTGAGGTACATTTCGTAAAACTGTAGACAGACGGAAGTGATCAGCCTCCGGGTGTTGGAACTTGAATTCTAGCAGAACAACTCAAGACAAGAGGTAATTTAAAAAAAAAAAAAACGATGTTACTAATACTATTGCAAGGTGTTTGATTAATCAGCTCAGATCAGTCATCTTACACTTGTGGGGCAGCTGAGGAGGGGATCTGGGCATTTATGACATGCCTGGCTTTCTGTGACAATCACTAACTCAAGATTTCGCAAATGAATTCATTTTATGGAGTTGATGCTGCTTCAAAATATCAATCATCATCATGAACCTTGCATGTGAGTATATATATAATATTTACTAGTTTACTGTCTGTACAAGAAATTCATTTCTTTGTTCTTTAATTAAGAAATATATTTTCTTTTTATTTGAGCAAAAAGAGGCAACATAGCTCCAGAAGACTAGTTTCCAAATAAATATCCAAAACCTGTATACCTCTCTTATTTTTTGATGGTTAGACATGCATACTTCTTGATAAACATATTATTTATAGATGTTGGAATTGCAAAAAGGGTCTGCAGTTAAAGTGGGTTTTTTCTTTTATTTCTTAGATACTTGAGGTCGTTTTCTTGCTTAAGTTGTTGGTTTTCTATGCGTATCTTAATTGGTTGTTCTGTTTTTTCAATGGTCACAACTTCTTTTTTTTTTTTTTAAATGTTAATAATCATGTTTTGTGCTTTTGCTGCTATTTTGAGATTGTCCAGGCACCTCTTCAGCTATTCCTCTGCAGTTGTCGTGAGAGCTTATCCATCAATAAGGAGTTCCTTGCATTTCATTAATTTTGAATACTTTACTGATAAAATATATATATATATATGTGTGATATATATCGGAGTATAGAGCACTCCTTGGCAGACTCTAGATTGTAAATAAAACTCTCCTCTCATTCCAGCATCTGATCTAGCTACACATTTGGTGTTTGAATATATAATTTAATGTTTACTAGATGCTGACTAACTCCATAGACTATTAGTGTTTTCCAAAGTAGTTGATGGTCTGACCCAATCGAATGCTTTTTTCTTGATCCATGTGCGCAGAATGTAGCATATTATCTTAGTCTGCTTGTAGTATTGTCAAGATAACATCAGTACAGCTTTTGTTGCTATTGCAAAACAAGATGATGATAATCAAAATCATTTGACCATACCCGTAGATGGGTGATGGATGACAGTATAAATATCTAATTTTTTTTTTTTTTATAAACAAATTAAATTCTGTTATAGTTAACACTTAAAATGATCTCTTATAATCTGCTTTACTTATAATTAACATTTAGATACACCACCTGCCCATACCAGTGGCTCCCAAACTTTTCTTTGTTGAGCCCTAAAAGCTTTCTCTACCCAGTTCTGCAGCCATGTGTGCTTTCAGTTGCTGATGCATATTTAACATCTTGTATCTACTGTGGCAGAGATCTTCCTCTGCCTAGTTTTCCAGAAACTGTATGCTCCGTCACTGTTCTCTCCAGGCCACAATGATATTTTACATGGCCCAAATGCCTCAGCTTTTAGGACAGGATGCTGTTCATAAGCCAGTTATTTCATAGCCATTTTGAATTTTGTTTTTTGATTTGGCTCATATGTATGAAGTCATGATGAATTTTGTTGTTGATTTGGCTCATTTGTAAAAAGTCATGATGAATTTTTTTGTTGATCTGGCTCATGTGTATAAAGTCATGATGAATTTTGTTGTTGATTTGGCTCATATGTATAAAGTCATGATGAATTTTGTTGTTGATCTGGCTCATGTGTATAAATCATGATGCATTTTGTTGTTGATTTGGCTCATATGTGTGAAGTCATGATGAATTTTGTTGTTGATTTGGCTCATATGTATAAAGTCATGATGAATTTTGTTGTTGGTCTGGCTCATGTGTATAAATCATGATGAATTTTGTTGTTGATTTGGCTCATATGTGTGAAGTCATGATGAATTTTGTTGTTGATTTGGTTCATATGCATAAAGTCATGATTTGGCTCATATGTATAAAAGTCATGATGAATTTTGAAATGTAAAGTCATGATGTTTTGTTGTTGGTCTGGCTCATATGAATTTTGTAATATAAGTCATGATGAATTTTGTTGATTGGTTCATGATGCATTCTTGATGTAATAAAAATGAAGTCATGATGACGTTTGATTTGGCTCATATGTATAAAGTCATGATGAATTTTGTCAAATGTATAAGTTATGAATTTTGTTATTGATTTGGCTCATATGTATAAAGTCATGTTGAATTTTGCTTCCCTTTTAGATACAAGGCATACCATGAGAAAAGTCATGTCAGTGCTCTACAATTAGACTAGGCCAATATACAACAAGTCATGGATGGAAATGTGTACAACTATGGTAATTATATATTTGATTGGTGTGTTCTTGCATGTAATAAAAAAAGCTCAACGTTCTGAAAGCAAAGTCATATCTCAGAATAGCTGCAGACAAGAAGCACCTCCTGCATGAAGCCCTAGGTAGAGTTGAGGATCACAGACTGAAAATAGGAAGGTCTTGGATGGTGAAAGCTGAAAACACAATTAGAGATGTGTGCAGGATTGATGAATTTGGATGAGGGAAAAGGTGAGTCAAAGTTTCTGAGCTAGAATCAGTCTTGTGTAGGGTTCTAATCACTTTGGGTCGTGAGTGCAGGGATTGGCCAGCTGGTGCTGCATAATCAGAAGTTCAGCAAATGATTCATGACAATTCCTGTCCTGGTGATGTGATTATCTACACGGATGGCTCTGTGTTAAGAGGTAGGCGAAGTACATTGGGGTTCATAGCAGAAGTGAATGGACGTCACTTGGTGCAACAAAGCCTGGCATATGATTTCACAACTCTAGTTTGAGAATGTAGGTGAAGGCAGTGACTGCTGCCTTCCACTGGATTGAGAATCAGCTGTTTACACATGTTGTGATTGTAACTGACTCACAGTGTGCAAGTATGTTGAGAAAAGTGAAGACAGGCATTCATCTAGCAGAGTGGCAAGCATCACTCAGCAGAGGCCCCTGCAAGTTGGCGTCCTGGATATTTTCTCCAGGTCATGCTGGTGTGTTTGGAAATGAGCAGGCAGATAGACTGGCCGGCTCTGCACCACTTGGTGGTGAATTAATATATGACAAGCTAGATATTGTGAGGGCCTTCTGGGAGTGAGTGAACAGTGAGGAGGCACAAATAAGTCATTACAGTCTGAGGAGATTGACGCTGAGGAGAGTTACCAGGGGATCTGGCCAACACTCTAAACTTAAGGGAAAGGCGAGACAAATGTACAGTCAGACAGTTACTGGTACTACTGGAATTAGAACTCTCTGCTTGCTGCTTCTTCTTCTTCTTCTTCTTCTTCTTCTTCTTCTTCCTCCTCCTCCTCCTCCTCCTCCTCCTTCCTCCTCCTTCTTCTTCTTCTTCTTCTTCTTCCTCTTCTTCTTCTTCTTCTTCTTCTTCTTCTTCTTCTGCTTCTGCTTCTGCTTCTTCTTCTCCTTCTCCTTCTTCTCTGTTTGTGCACTTCAAAACGAGTTTGGCATCCTGTGTTGGGGTTTAGAGCTAGTCTGCAATATTTGTGCCTTTCAACCCAGCACATCTTTTTTTTTTCAGCAGACTCCAAATTAGTCACCTTTTATAGCATGCTGTTTGTAACCAGATAAATAGTGTTGACGTAATAGTGGTTCTAACCAGGTAAATAGTGTAGATGTAATAGTGTTTGTAACCAGGTAATTAGTGGAGATGTAATAGTGTTTGTAACCAGGTAATTAGTGTAGATGTAATAGTGTATGTAACCAGATAAATAGTGCAGATGTAATAGGGTTTGTAAGCAGATAAATAGTGTGGATGTAATAATGTTTGTAACCAGGTAAATGGTGTGGATGTAATAGCGTTTGTAACCAGATAAATAGTGTGGATGTAATAGCGTTTGTAACCAGATAAATAGTGTGGATTTAATAATGTTTGTAACCAGGTAAATAGTGTGGATGTAATAATGTTTGTAACCAGATAAATAGTGTGGATATAATAATGGTTGTTACCTGATAAAGAGTGTGGATATAATAGCGTTTGTAACCAGATAAATAGTGTGGATGTAATAGTGTTTGTAAACAGATAAATAGTGTGGATATAATAGTGTTTGTAAACAGATAAATAGTGTTAGATGTAATAGTGTTTGTAACCAGATAAATAGTGTTAGATGTAATAGTGTTTGTAATCAGTTTAATAGTGTGGATGTAATAATGTTTGTAACCAGATAAATAGTGTAAGTATAACCTCAGACATAGAAGCCAGTGGGGCATCTGACCAATGGTGTTAGACTCCATATTTTTAAAGATCAATCAGTGCTCACTGGATGATGTTGCCAGCATGGTGCTGGCTGCCTTTACTTCCACGAACATGCCCGATACCTGTTTTTGGCAGGGTCAGCCTGGGAGCCAAGGTTAGTGTTAAAAATATCAACCTCAGTGTGAATTTGAACCGAAGACCTTCGGCTTCCCAGGTGAGCATCAAGTCACTATGCTGCCAGAGTCATTGTGTCTGTGTAATGTTTGTGACCAGTGACATAGTGTCCGTATAATGTTTGTGACCAAAGATGTAGTGTCTGGGTAATGTTTGTAACCAGTGACATAGTGTCCGTATAATGTTTGTGACCAAAGTGTCCATGTAATATTTTGTGACCAGGGACTTAGCGTCCATGTACTGTTTGTGACCGGCGACACAGTGTCCACATAATGTTTGTAACTAATGTGTCCAGGTAATGTTTGTGACCAGAGACACATTGTCCATATGATGTTTGTGACAAGAGACAGTGTCCATGTAGTGTTTGTGACCAGTAACATGGTGTCCATTTAATATTTGCAACCAGAGACATAATATCCATATAATGTTTGTAACCAAAGACATAGTGTCCATATAATGTTTCTGACGAGAGACATAGTGTCTGTACTGTTTGTAACCAGAGACAGTGTCCATTCAATTTTTGTGACCAGAGACATAGTGTCAGTGTAATGTTTGTGACCAGAGACATAGTGTCCGTGTAATGTTTGTAACCAGAGACAGGGTCCATTCAATTTTTGTGACCATAGACATAGTGTTCATGTAATGTTTGTGACCAGAGACATAGTGTCCGTGTAATGTTTGTGACCAGAGACAGTGTCCATTCAATGTGTGTGACCAGAGACATAGTTTACATCCAATAAAAAATATATTTGTATACAGAGTGTTTGTAATCAAAAACATAGTGATATAACATGTAAAAATATTTGTAACCTGTATACTTTCAGCTGCGGGCAGCATGTGGAATGGCTATAGCGAAGGGTTCCAGCCATCCGCTTTAGAACTCCAGAACCATATGGCACCAAACCGGGAGTATTTGGCAAGAGAGCAGAGTAAAAACTCATTTGTTCCTGCTGCATCTCCGTACGTTTTCTTCAATTACGCGGATGAATCTCCTCATCAATACCATCATCTTCCTGAGAATGTAAGCAGAAACCAGTGGCATTTTCCGACATGGCCAAAGATGAAAGTGATTCCAGACTCCATGTTTCAAGAAACCCCAAAGAGATACTCAGAAAAGCAGTTTCATAAAAATGGTGATGTTGGGATGCCGATAGTTCTTCAGACGTCAGCCAACCAGAATACCTCTAACGGTGAAAGCTATTATTCATCAGATGTTTCTCAGCATGTTATGATTGATCCTCAAAGAGTCTACCCTCTGTTAGAGTCTCAGGAATTAGTAAATATAAGCATTCCAGTTGCAGCCTCCACTCTCAGCAGTCAGCCCATGACAACATCAATGGGCAGCCAGAAGAGTGCTACAAAAAAAAGCTCAGGACCTAGAAAGCAAAAAACTAAGTTAAAAACAGAAGATGCATCATTGAGCAAGAGGATGAGAAATGAGGAAAAATGGGCCAGAAATATTAGGAAGAAAGCAAGATCAAAAGGAGAGAGTTATGTTTCTGTTCAAGGGAAAACTGTGCCTGCAAGATCTGTCAAGAATGTTGATTGCTCAAAATGTAAATTCAATTGCTCATCCATAGTTTCAGAAGAACAAAGGCAACAGTTATTTGAAGAATACTGGGAGCTGGAGACTTTTAAGGAAAAGGTTGATTATATCGCAGGCTGTGTTAATGAGTTCGCACCTCTTCGACCGGTAAGTGGCCGTAGAGCTTACTCCAGACGGTACACACTGAAAGTTGGTGGGAAAGATGAAAGAGTATGCAAAGAATTTTTTGTAAACACATTTGACATTAGCGAGAGCACGATTGTCACTTACATGGGAAAGAAAAGGAAAGGGCCTGATGCTGTTGCAGATCTGCGAGGGAAGCAGACGCCAAGCAATAAAACACCAGAATCTACAGTGAGGCTGATTCGGGAGCACATCTTGTCCCAGACCGGCCTGCAGGGACAGCTGACTAGATCTCCCAGTGAGGATGTGAAGAATGTAAAACGACTTTATCAGCACTATCAAGGAGAATGTGAAATGGACAGAATCAGACCAGCTAGCATTTCTGTCTATCGTAAAGTCTACTCTGACATGCACAAAGATCATAATGATACACCAGTAGCGATTCCTCCTGATGTTCTGACACAAAGCAAAAAATCAAAACAGCAAACATGTGTAGGAAAAGAAGACAGTTTTGTTTCATCATCATTTAAAGAACAAAATGGTCTTTCTCCTCTTGAATCCTCTGTAAGTTTTGATGCTTCCTCAAATTCACAGCCATCTGTGGCAGATATGGTGTCTTCCACCAATGCTACAGCTCTGCCGGAGACATTCCATGACCTTGATCTCAGGCAGTATCCTTACCACAATGGTGACCCAAACCTGCCTACAAATTCATTCTGTGACAACAAAACAGGCAGCTTAGACACACATCAAGCAGTCCCATATCAGCCAGCTTATCATCATCATCATCATCTTCGGCAGCAACATATATCATCCCAACAACATCTGGAAAAGCCATTATTTGCTGCACATTGTCAAGAAGATCAAGCAGCATCCAGTCATGAAAGAGGGCATGCAAACAATACATTCCCCTTTGTCTGGGATTCCAATAGAATAAGCAGCAGCTCTGTTGCCACCAATTATAACTTAAGCTACTGCCCTGTCTCTTATTCTAACCAAAACCACATCATTCAGCCATCACTGTCATCATCTTCATCATCATTATTCAATTATAAGATATCATCTTCATCTACGGCACCATTGCTCCTAGAATCTACCTCAAACATTGATCTAAAAAACAAGCCTGGTCAGGTTTCTCACAGAGAGGCCCCGAATGGTAAAATCACATCAGAAAAAAGTAGCATAATTACTACAAAGAAAAGAAAAAGAAATAAGGCTAAAAGAGAACCTAAAAAAAGAACTAGAAATGAAGAGACTTGGGATAGAAATGTGAGGAAGAGATTACGGTTTAAAGGGGAAGCTTATATTTCAGTTAAAGGTAAATTGGTGGAAGCAAGAAATGTAAGGGAAGTTGATTGCTCAAAATGTAAATTCAAGTGTACTTCAAGAATTAATAAACAGCAGCAGCAAAATCTGAATGAGTTGTATTGGAGTTTAGATACTTACAAGAAAAAGATAGAATTCCTGAACAAGTATGTGCAGACCTACACTCCAAAACGAAAGATGACTGGCAGGAGAGAATATTCCAGGAAGTACATCTTTGACGTAGATGGAAGTGATGAGCGTGTATGCAAGGATTTCTTTACAGCCACTCTTCACATAAGTGAAAGTACAATTGCCACTGCACTGAAGAAGAGCAGGAAAGGCCCCGATGCAGTAATTGATATGCGAGGCAAACACAAGCCGGTTAACAAAACAACAGAAGAAACACTTCAGTATATCCGTGAGCTGGTTATCTACTTAACTGGTCTGCGCCCCAACCGTGCTAGTAACAATCGACAAAGCATGCGATATGCAGACATAAACCACTTGTACCAAGTCTATAGATACGATAGTGAGAAAAAAAGCCGAAAAGTGGCCAGCTTGGGTATATTTCGAAGTATTTTGGTAAAGGAGTTTAGCATCAGATCTTCAAAATCAAAGAAGCATGAAAATGTTGATGATGTAGAAAAGAATGCATTGTTGCCTGCATCTCAGAGTGCTGCATTTACTTCTACAGAACCCTGGTCTGTAAATATACCTCAACCGTGTGCCATGACAAGCAAAGCAACATTGTTAAGTGAACTTCTTCCAAAGTCTGTCACCTGTGGGGACACTACATTTGGGGACCTCAACATTCCTAACCTATAAATATTGACTGTAATAACCACTGTATATGCATTTGTTTCTTATTTATGCTGAATATTAGCATGAACCAGGACAGTATACGTACTAGCACTTTTTGTTTATGGCATAATTTTTTTTCATAGTTACTAAATAGATACTTTGTGGACAGTACCGGCACCTACTGCACTGACAAATTCAATCTTCAGGCACCATCTCCACAGTGAAGGTTGACTGCAATGGATCTCCAACACATTCTGTCAGTTCCATTGGGTACATTTTCTCAGTATGAGGCAAGTCTTCAAAAAGCCATCTCTAATAGCTTTGTGATGTCAGATCAAAACTTCATGTGATGTAGCATGGCCTTGCATCCTGCCTTGTTTTGATTGTATGCTCTCTCAGACTGCCTTTTGTCCATTTCTTGATTTGTCCTCCCACTTATATCACTGTCTGCCTCTTGCTCACTTTTCTTCTTTTCCCTCCAGTATGGTTTTTATAAGAGAGTTCTGACTTTTAAAACAATGGCTGAAGTATTTCACTTGTCTCGTTGCCCAAGCTGCTGCACCATACAGCCAGGTTGAGTATGCATAGCATTTGAAAAGTCTCATTTGTAATGAGTTCTTAATCTCTCTAGACGTTAATAAATTTGTTTCCCCCTTGTGGGTTCTGGGCTCCCATTTTCGGGAAAACAAGAATCGACCCACTGCCTGCCCAAAAGCATGTCTAAGAGTCGCCTAATTGGGAGCGTCCGTAGGAGTACATCTGCCTGAGAGGCAAGGAACCAACAATCTGCATGCAAATGAGTCAGACCTGTGAAACGGATGTGCATGCAACACTCAGTTTCTGGAACAGGACTAGAGTCCAAAAGTGGACGAACAACCAGAACTTTCCAGCGGAGTTACAGCTGGTGAAGGCAAAGAAGAAGAAGAATATTTTCATGCTGTTGAAACTATTTTTGGCCATTCCTATATTTTCTATTTCTGTTTTACTTCTGCCATAATCAGTTACTACTTGACTGGCAAATTATATTGTAACAGATATTAATGGGTTTACTTTCTTTTTTGTCTGCAAATTCTAGTCCAACATTTTATTTATCATAAGTTATTTCAGGGTCTGCCCAAAAATATATGCACACTTGAACTAATAGCATCTGTAAAAAAAATGTGTTGGTTAGATTAGATTTAGGTAGCAGTTCATATTATGATGTTATTTCAGAGGATGTCATTACGTACATTAATATCAGCACTGACATATATGGTAGATTTTGCATTATCCAGCCTAATGTGGTGGAAGGTTAAGCCACATAATTCAAAGACTGGATGTGCCGAAGACCTTTAAATACTCAGTCTCTATTCCATCCATATCGTTAAAAACACAATTTTTTATTCCAAAATCTTCTCTTATTAGTATTTTCTGACCTTTTAGCACAGCGGTTTTCAACGATCTTTTCACAGGGGTCGCCTAAGACCATCAGAAAACACATATTCATTGAAGTTATGAGGAAAAATAATTGTTTGGGGATCACCACAATCTGAGGGAACTGTTAAAGGGTTGCGGCATTAGGAAGGTTGAGAGCCTCTGTCTGGGTACAAGGCTTTTCAACTCAGCTTACTCAGGGGCCACAGCCAGAAGCCTGAGTTCCAGCATAGAAAGATCACTAGTACAATACAACTGGCAATGATTCGAGGGCCACCTCTTAGGTCTCCATGGGCCAGCTTTAGCCTGTGGGCCGCTAGTTGAATAGCCCTGCCTTAGTACATGCCAGATAGAATCACTAATTAGAACATTTGGGAGAGAACTAAGCAAGCTCCAGTGGACCAAGAGGTGAAGAAAAGACGCTGGCGCTGGATAGGACACACATTGAGAAAACCGGAGAACAATATAACTAGAATATCTTTGCACTGGAACCCACAGAGGCATAGGAATAAAGGAAGGCCAAAAAACACATGGAAAAGGGAGTTGGAGAATGAAGTTAGAAAGATAGGGAGAGCTGCATGTGATAGCAAAAGATAGAACAACTTGGTGTGAGTTGGTTGAGGGCCTATGCTCCATTGGGGTTTTAGAAAGTCAGAAGAAGAAGAATTACATGCCAGTACTTTATAAATTGTTCTTATATACTGTACTGTACATTTTAAACATTTATTACAGAAAAGAAATTTGTTCACATTTTTTGTGTCTAAAACACCTTGACATGAGTAGCATATTCTGTGTCTAAAAACTTTGATGTCTAAGGTCCACTGCCTCCTGCAGAAGAAAAAAAATAATAAACAAAATCATGTACACATACATCAGGGCTATTCAAAAGGCAGCCCGCAGGCCATATACGGCCCATGAAAGCTTAGTAAGTGGCCCCCAGATCATTGCCAGTTGCATTGTGTTAATGGTCTCTTTATGTTTAGGCTGGAGCCTCTGGTCTGTTACGATCCCCATTTTAAAAATTGTAGCCCCTGAGTAAATTTAGTTGAATAACCCCTGAATGCAAATGCATTTAAAATGAACAAAACAATAACATAAAATGTAGGCTTACTTACCAAATTTATTTCTCTCTTTTTTTTTTTTGAAATAAACTGTTGATTGATAATTACACTTATGGGAAAAGGTTGGACTGAGATGAAAAAAGTCAAGGTAAGAAGTTTTAAGTTTTTAAAAGTTTTTGATAAATGACTGTTTCACGTATTGTGCCCTCTCTCCTCTTCATTACTGAATGAAAAAAAAAAGCTAGACCAGAAAATATGGGATTCGGAAAATCAAGAGCCGGATAATGGAAGTTCTACTGTATTAAATTTGTATACAGATTTTTTCATTTCTGCTAATGTATATGCATATTTTTGTGGCTCACTCTAAATAATTTGAATACAGAGATGTTTAAGTCTAAATTTATGATCTCTTTTAAATCTGCTTTAGTTTAAAAACTCTGTTGGTTGGAGCATGCTCAGAGAATGGCAAGTAACAGCATCAAAAACTGTGCCCAAAATAATTGAATGGCAAACGAAGAAGAAGATGACTACTATATAATGCAGGCAGACTTGTAAACCCTTCAGGTCAACAACTGAAAAAAAGGCCATCACAGAGATGAATGGAAAAGTAAGTGGTGTCTGTAACAGTGAACCTCAAGGTCAGAATTCTGAAGAAGTAGAAGAAAAGGATGTCAAGGTCAGTAGTGAAGGTTGGTGGCTATTTACAATATAAAAGTGCATAATCTAATATATCAGTGATTCCCAAACTGTGCGCTGGGGTGCCCCAGGAAGCCGCGACCTTTTCACAGGGGCGTCGCAAACTATTGTAAAAGCTTTATAATTAATTTAACCAAGACACAAATAGTCATACTTTTACTTATTTAAGAGCTTCGTGGAAAAATTTTAATTGAAAAAGGCGCCGCGACCAAGAAAAGTTTGAGAAACACTATATATGAAGGGGCTTTGAACGAAAACCTTAAAAGTGTGATAGAAAATACTGTAACAATGACATTGTTCTGTAACCTGTTAGTGTTGTTGTTAAGGATGTCAGGAGTGTTATGCACATAACCTCATGGTGCAGACAAACACAGTGACATCATAATGACAGTTTTTTTCCCCTTGAAGTATGACCTGTTCTTCTGTTTATCAACATTTCCAGACTCAATTCGATTTTCTGATTGCCTGTTCATTGTCTAAGTTTTTACACCATACAGCAGGCTTGAGTAAACATACATTTTGAGTAGTGTAATTTTTTAGTGTGCTATTCATCTCTGTAGCTTTAAATAATTTGCTTATCCTGTTGAAGATAGTTTAAGCCATTCCTTTTATCTTTTTTATTTCTGTTTGACTTCTGCTATCATCTGTTACTGTGTGACCAAGATAGGAGAAACTTGTTAGATGTTCTAATATCTCACAGTTTACAGTGGTTTTCACTTTTGAAAGCTCTTTTTCATTATTAATTACCATTGTCTTTTTGTTTTATGTCTAAATCATACTATGCACTCCGCCTGTTGATTTGATCCACTAGGTCTTGTAACTCCTGCTCTTAGCACTGTGTCATCAGGATTGTACTGTCTTGACGCAAGACCTTCGGGCAAGCTTGTTTAGCCTAGGCTGAATCCAGCCCTATGAATACTGTCAGGTGCAGACAGAGAACGGTAAACCACAAGCAAAAAGGCCGACCAAGAACAAAAATGTGTTGAGGGAGTGAAAGAGACACTACAGAAACGCAGTATGACATTAACACAAGCTACACAAATAGCAAAAGACAAGAAACTATATCTGTCCACTCTGAAACACTTTATGACATAATCAGTTGGACAAAAGCAGAAGACAGAGTTTTGTAAAGCATATCATATGTGTGACCAGTGAACATATAGAGATTTCAGTAGAGCATAATATGTATCTTGTAACCAGTAAACATATAGAGAGGGAGTTTTTTAAAAAGTCATATCAGGTAAGAAGTAACTGGTAAACCTATAGCAAGAGTGTTAAGAAAATAATATGTAATCTTTCATCTTTGTGTTCACCAGCAATAAATTCTGACAGAAAGTGATAATTGTTCAACTGCCTAAATTACAAAATGTGCCCTTCAGTAAGCATAGAGAAGGAACTAAGAGTAGATTATCAAGTAATATGTAACTAGTAAACGTAGAGAGGAAGCAATAAAATAAAAGTCAATTTCTCAAAGGGTAAGCAGGAAATGTACAGTGATGAAGAGAGTTAAAAAAGACTTTTATGTATGTTGCAACCAGTAAACGTAGTGATTTACTTGATAAAGGGCGAGTTAAACCAGCTACAAAATTATCAACTGTCAGGAAAAGACAACAATCCACTAGTTTTTGTCCCCTAGATTATCTTCAACAAACCTCTACCAACATAAGAATGCCACTGCTAAAAACAAAAGAGTGACAGTGTAACAATCTAATAGAATGGATGTTTGTGGCCGGGAAAGAGGTGGGAAAGGAGGATTGACAGTTTTGATGTAAATGTTTCTCTTCTTTTAAAAAAATTTTTTAACAAAACAATGACAATGCAACAATCTGATAGAATGGATGTTTGTGGCCAGGA